TTTATTTTATTAAATTAAAATTTGAAAGACATGTTTGAAAATCAAATATAACTATTGACAATAAAAAAGTACCTATATGAAATGGTGTCTTTCCGGAGGGATACATCCCTACAAATAGTAACTTTTCAGGTATTATAATTTCATATGCAAAGTCAGAGTTCTACATCTAATTCTGAGAGAATTTTGAGTTCTATTGTATCCTGAAGGATTTTAAATTCTGAAGAAAAATGAGATCACGGCTCAGAACAATTCTTTTATTCTTATGCTATTTCATATTTTTCTAACACCACTTTCTATCTATCAATAGATTATTATTATTCCTTCTCCCACTATTCTCTTATTTCTATTATTATTTCTTAACTATTCTTCTAAATCTTTATCTATCAAATATATCTTCTTTATTTTTTTGTTATATACTTTAGTTTCTTCCTCTTGAAACTTTTTTACTTAGCTCTATTTCACCTTTTATCAATTTTTCTTAAGACTCATTGTCTTAACTTATTCTCTTACATTTTTATTATTATATTTATTTATCTACTTTACATTTTTTTCATCAACATCTATTTACTCTATATTTATCATCATTTTTCTCTCTATATAATAATAAATTCTTTGTTATTCATTTTTTTCCCATCATCCTTATTCCCTCAATATGATTCTTTTTTATTCATTCATTGCATCTATATTTATTATTATATACCATTTTTATCTCAGTTTCTCTCTCTCCCTCTCCCTCTCTTTCTCCCTCACTTTGTATATATTAGAATTATTTAAGTTTTTATCTTAATGAATATACTGAAAGCTTGTAAAGGCTTTTACTTTACCATTTTTATGCTTTTGATAGTTTAGACTTTTGAGAAAGAAAATGTTAAAGCATTTTTAAATTTCTCACAAAGACTTTTTTTTTTTTTTTTAAGGTTACTTGTAAGGTTGTTCTTTTACTTCTTATTTATGCTAATATGGTTTCATTATAACATTTTTGTACTTTTCAAATTGATCTTTTAAGTTGATACACATCAATTATATATACTACAATTTGTAGTCATTTATAATTCTTAAAATTTTAGTAATAATTATTTAGAAATATATTTATTTAAAATTATTTACATCTTAATTATTAAAAAAATGATTGATATACCTTTCGATTCAACACTTTTTTTACACCTACTTAGTGCAGCAATTAAAATATATTATACATGTCAGTTCATGCATCTTGTATGAATAGTTGCATATTTAACTTTATTTATTTTTATTTTTAAATTAAAAAATAGTGATTTTTTAATGAATATATTGTATAATGTGTTGAATCATATAATATACCGATTGATGTCCTAAGTATTACTCCTTTAATCCTGGAATAATGGATTATAATTCATTAATTATTGATGATTTTAACAATTTTTATAATATAGTAAGATAAAATAAAATAAAATAATAATGCAAATCTTAGATTGCTTATGTATAATATATAATTATTAAAGGTTGAGTCCAAATTTAATTAGAATTTGAATTAAAGTTTAAAAGTTAAATTAAAGCTGGGTAATAATATATTATTTGAATTGGAATATTAGACTCCTAAATTTGAGGTGGATTTTAGATCTTAAGAAAGGCCCATCGGCTATTTATTTGAGATTTTAAGAGTATTTTTAAGGGATTTATTGAAGTTTTTTAAGACATTTATTGAGGATTTTTAAAGGCTTAATGCTTATTTAATTCAAGATTTAAGGCCTGTTTGATATATTAGTTCGAGGGTAACAGTTTGTAGTTTTACCCAAACCGTTAAAGATAAGTGTTTAGTAATTTTGTACATTTCAAAGCTGCTATACATAAGATATTTGATAAAAAATTTTATTTAACGGTTTAAAATTAGTAGATAGTAGTTAAAATCCAAACCACTAACGAATTAAAAAGTTAATGTAAGTAGCCTTTTGTATCAAATCGTTAATATATTAAAATTTTTTAATTTTATTAACAAATTTATACATTTTAATTTTTTTATTTTTGGCCACAGTCTTAATTAATACTTATTTAATTAATTTTAATTCATTTTTTTATCTTTAATAACATTAAATGATTATTATATTTTTATTTTTTACATAATTTATCATAAAAAATATATATTAACTTAATAAAAAAATTTTGCTAGTTAGATGAAATGATTAAAATATTTTTTTATTTAAAAATAATATAATTTTTTCTTTTTAATAACATTAAGTGATTATTATATTTTTATTTTTTACATAATTTATCATAAAAAAATATATTAACTTAATAAACAAAATTTGCTAGTTAGATGAAATGATTAAAATATTTTTTTATTTAAAAATAATATAATTTTTTCTTCATTAAAAATAGAAATGAATGTGTGATTACACTATTATAATTTACTTGATTGATTTATTTTCTTATTATTATTTTATAAAATTAATAATTTTAAAAAGAAAAATATAAAAAGAAAAAATACACTTAATTTTTTTTGAATATGTCTTTGTTAGTTACTTAACGTTGAACAATAACTGTTAATTATTATATAACTAAATAGTTATATTAATCAAATCAAATGTACTATATATTATTCATTAATAATGGCAATTTGCTTCGAAAGGCATGAAACTCTATAAAAATGGAGATTCAAAGAATATTTTTCCTTAAAGAACTGGGATAAAGGCAATTTTTTCCTTATGAAATTTCATTGAAAATTTCCTACACACCACAAGCCTCCGCGGGGAATTGTGTATAATAAAAAAAATAAAAATGTATATTTTTATAAATTATAATGTATTTATAAAAACATAAAACCTAATTAATATTTACTCAAAAAAATAAAAATTTATATTTTTATAAATTATAATATATTTATAAAAACATAAAACCCAATTTCTTTTAAATTTCTACTCTCTTTATACTGTTTTTTATGGATTTGTTAAATTGTATGCATTTGTTGAACCGTTATATGCATTTACTTATTTCAAATTTTCACTCTCTTCTTATTTCTTTATGTCATACTTTTTTGTGGTGTTTGTGAAATTTTATGCATGCTTTTCACTTCTACAGGGTTTTATTTTTATACCTCATGAATTACTCTTTATGTAAGTTATAAAATTTATTTATTGAAAAAATAAGATTAAATTCTATAATTTTAATACTTGGCAAAAAATTTGTATACCTATAGAGACCTACCATTACTCACAGAGTTAGGGATGGAGGACATTTTTTGTCCCACCAAAAATCCCCATGGGCATTTCCATACTGCCTAGTGAACATGGGGATAGGGTCTTTGCCCCACAGAAACTCGTTATCATCTTTACTATCTACTGCTCATTTTTTACTATTTATTAACTGTCAATCACTAACCGCTATTACTATGCATTATTTATTAAATTTTAATTATTATACCAAATAGGCCTTTATTGTTGATTTTAACAATTTTTATAATATAGTAAAATGTATGAAAATAACCACATCTCTCAATGTTATGCGAGTCAAGAAATTATTTTTAAGAACATAAAATAATATTTTTTAAGTCAAATTTCACAATAAAAATATAATTTTAACTATGAAATTACTAAAGTATATTTAATAAAACTCATTTTATACTAATTTGTTAATAATATTTAAATTATTTTAATGTTTGGTTATAATGCGGTTTCATCTTAAAAACATGAAATTCTATAGAAAATATGCAAGTTGCATTCCTCAAAGTTACTCAAGACAAATGCTCTTTTGTAACCAAAATTGATTAGTTAATTACAATTTGTTCAAGCGTAAACGTTGGAAATTACTCTTTTTTCTTCTATCATGCTTTGAAAAGAGGGTACTTAGGCATTTCATTCATTTTGGTTTAGATACGGATCCTGAATATAAGAGCTCGAGTTCCCCTTTCTCCACTGACCAGTGGCTAAATTATAAGCTAACCTCCTATTTAATAAAGTAGTATATAACTTCCTCAATTATTTAGGGGGCATATAAATCCTCAAACAACACAAACAAACCCACATTTAATGGAAACCATTACCTGCCAAGTAAGTCTTTGCCATCCTAAAATTTTATGGAAGAGTAATCCTTAAATTTTATAAAACTTAAAGGTTATGTTAAATAAAATTTTTGAATTTTTTTATCTTAAATTGTATAATAAAATATAATTTTTTCTCATTATTTAATTTCAGTTACATATTATACGACTTGAACTCAAAAAAAATATTATTAAATTACTCAAATTGTTGACAAAATTCTTAAACTTTTAAGAAATAAATGAAATTTATCTAAAATCTCTACTTGTGATAAGTAATACCTCAAGGCAAGTAAAACACAGTGACGAGGGTTAGGTTCCTTGCCCCCATCTTCTATCGAGAATGTATCCCGTTACTCTCCTCTCCACTCTTTCATGATCTCCTTCGCAAAACATGGTCGTGTTATAGCGAGCTTCTAATGCTATGGTGGCAGAGACAGGATAAAAAAAAAATAGGGGAGGAAATGAAGCATTGATTAAGAAATGGAGTATTTTAGGGATTTTATAGCCTTTAGGCCCATAATTTCTTTAAAAAAAAAAATCCTTCTTATAGCATCGAATACCCATTCTCAATTTTTGAGATTTTATCTACAATTAATATTAAATCTCACTCCATTTTAGAACATGTTTAATAAACAAACTTTTATTAGTGTTTTGTTAATATCTTATTCTCAAAAAACTAATTCTCTTTTTAAGTTGCTCCAATTAACAAAAGTATGTTGTCGCATTTTTTTTATATAGTTAGTGAATAAACTTTTTTTTTATTAACAATTTAAATAATTCAATAATTACCTATTTTTAATAAAAATAATGATGTGAATGGCGTGAATTAAAGATATAAAAATTATTTTTTATTATACAATTTAAAATAAAAAATATTAAAAAAAAAAAAACAACAACAGCAACACCCTCATTTTCTTACGGCATGGAGTAATAGACCGGCGGAAAATAACAGCTTGGGGCGGCTGATTACTCGTCCGGTGTTGTCTGAGGACTTATATGCGATTCAAACAGTTAGTTAGGGCTTTAATCTTATTTTCTTTAAAATTCAAGGGCACATATCACTCAGCCGACCCCCAAAATTCCAGAGTTTTGTCCGGGGGAGGGTTTCACGATGACCGCCAAGCACCGTGTCCCGGGCAGCAGCTTTCCACCTCCGGGCTCTCAAGGTCAGTGCAGTAATATTAACTTCTACAATCGTCCAATACCCTAAGTGCGGATATTTCCATCTCCTATAATCATTAATTAGTAATTGTTGAATCTGTCATCCTCATTTTATAATCCTTGGATGAGTTCTCAACATAATGCAAATTATAATCCATATGTGGTTACAGAATAGACTTGATTCCTTCGAAACTGTGATTCTTATTGAGCTTCATTCTCGGTCTAGGAGAATGTCTAATCAGTGCCATGATCAGAAGCAGTGCCATAATCAGAATGAGGGATTATAGTATTAGAATTCAAGTGCCAATGAAAGATTTGTCCTTTGTGTTGTAGACGGGCACATTTAAATGCAATGGATTTTCGTCTGCTTACATTAAGTATAGTTGCTTTTGTTTGTTTGGACTTAGAGGTAAATTAGAATTCTTGATTATCTAGACTTTGCACATTTGATGAGGATTTATCACGTCGAAGTGACTAATCTGTTTTGATTATATGTTAATTTAATGAAATTTATCTTTTGGTTGTAATTAAGCTAGTTGGCTTGTCTGATCTAGAATAATTGTTCTATATACTGACTAAAAATATGAATGTAGGATCATATGTTGAGTAGAATACCAGAGAAGCTTGCGAGTTCAGCTGCTGCAGCTACAAAATGATCTTGCCTCTTTAGTTGGCACTTGGCAGCTTGGTGATCAGTTCAATTCCATACCTCGTGTAGATTTTCCCTTTCCAGATGTCTCCCACCATCATTACCAGATTTTGTTGAGCCTGGTAGATATGAGATTGCTAGTCTACCTAATGGTATCAAAATTGCCTCAGAAACATCAGTGGTACATATCGATATGTCTTTCTTTAAAGAATTATTTTTCTATCTGTGGCCTCTCCTTCTTTAAGGAATTAATTTTCCATTTTATTAAAGAGGATACTGTTTGATTTATTCTGCTGACCCAAATCGTGCAGCTTCATGAGGGTTATACATTGATAATGGTTCAATTATGAGTCACCAAACTGTTTTGGGACCACTGTTCTGCTTGAGCGTAGGGCATTCAAGAGCACAACAAACTGTAGCTATTTGTGGGTTGTGATAGAATTGGAGGAAATTGGTGGCCATGTGCAAGCCTCAGCTTCTAGGGAGCCAATTTGTAACACCTTTAGTGCTCTGAAGACTTGTGTTCCTGAAATGGTAAAACTACTTATTATATGAGGAAACCTGCCCTCTTGGATTGGAAGGTCAATGAACAGGTGAAGTCCTTTATAACCTTCGTGTGCCTATGCTAATTGGTTGCTGGAAATTTTGGTTTAAATGCCCTTGGAAATATCACATTTTATATGTTTATCTTTTGCTGTTTCAGAAGGTGAAAGCAGAAATAGCTGAAGCTTCCAACAATCCTCAAAGCTTGCTTTCGGAGGCAATTCACTCTGCTGGCTAAGTGGATATTCTGTTGCCTTCGCAAATCCTCTTCTAGTTCCAGAATCCACTATAAGCAGATTGAATAGTACAATTCTTGTGGAATTTATATCAGTGAGTCAAAGAAAGCTTGATATTTCAGTATGCTCTATATTCCAATGCCAGTCATATCCCTTTTTTAAAATGTTTTGCCTAGATTTATGTATCTTTACTGGATTTTGGGAAAATTGTGCTGCTCCTCACTTGGTACTTTCAGCATCTGGAGTTGAGCATGGGGAACTGATTTATCAGTAGATTGCTTTTGTCAGATCTTTCTAAAATCCATTACCTTGAAGAGCCAAAGTCTGCATACATTGGAGGTGATTATTGTTGTCAAGTTTGTTCAGGATTATGTGTACTAAACGTTTGTCAGCGTCTTTTACTTTTATACTTCTTGTTCATCTATACGTGACAGTTATTTTGTAGGATGTTATTGCATTTGACGTTTTAAACTTCCTGGTGGTTAGGCAGAAGAAGAAGGAAGCTATGGTTTTGAATGTCCTCCAGGTGCAGTCTTGCTTTCCTTTTCTGAAACTTGTGCACAATTTCTTTTTTTTTTTTGGATTTTTTGGTTTTTGGCATCCAGAAGTCATCTCTTTAAATCTTCAGTTTGCATAGTTGTACTCTTGGCAAACTAATTTTTTTAACATAAAATATTGTTTCCAAGTGTTTCTTTATGGCAATTGTAGTTAGTGAATATTTGTATAAACTTTCTTGAAAACAATTGGTAAAAGCTAAACATCTTTTCTGGGTTTATATTTTATTGATTCATGTCAGTGATGCTTGATAGTATCCAGATAAATTTGTGATCTATGTTTCATGTTTCTGTTGAAAATGTTGTGGTCATCGAAAGCGTATTAATGATGTTTATCTTTATGGACTCAGAGCTCAGGTTTTGTACCAAAGACTTTTGATTTAGCAGCCAAGGAACTTATTGCAGTTGCAACACTAGGGGAAGGTTAGCTGCTTCTTAAAAAGGTCATTTTTTGCTCCCTACAGTTGCAGGGGAAGGTTATCTATGTTTCATGTTGCAGTTGTCACAAGTCATTATTCTCATGCAGCTTTTCTCTTAGCTTTTTGCTTAATAATGCCCTTCATTCTTTTCTCCCTACAGTTGACCTGAAACAACTAGGTTGTGCTAAACTGTTGACAAAAATTGCAATCTTGATGAACTTGGAATCCAGAGTATGAAAACAAATTTTCTTTCCTTTATTAATTATTGTTTCATACTAAATTAAGCTGGCCAGGGATTCATACTCTGCCGTCAGATGTTGCTCCTCTTGTTTGTTTACTTACAAGATGCATTCTGCAGATTGTTGCCTCAGAGGATATTCGTAGACAAGTTTTGACATATGGGAAAGGTATGACTTCTGACATGACTGTTTCTGAGTGGGTTAGCTTTGATTCTTTATTTATGATTGGATATGGATTGCTATGTTGGTGGCTTTTTACTGACCTCAATAACTTGCTTGCTAATATGTGTATGAATAAGTAGAATGATATTTCTTTCATCCTTAGGAAACCTGTGGAACATTTCTTAAATGCCGTTCAAGAAGTCATACTGAAAGATACTTCTTCTATAGCCCAAAAGCTTCTATTATCCCCCCTCACAATGGCATCATATGGAAACGGTATTTTGCAAGTCTAGAATATATATATATACTGTTTTTGTTGGCAAAAAAAAAAAAAGTACTGTCATTACTCAATTGGAAAGCTATGGTGATCTCCTTTCTCACTTTGCTAATATTTTGCAGTTATTAATGTCTCAAGTTACAATTCAGTTAGCAGCAAGTTGTAAACGATCATATGGAAACGGTATTTCCAAGTCTAGAATTTATATACTGTTTTGTTGCAACAAAACACATGCTTTTTACACAATTGGAAAGCTATGGTGATCTTTCTTCGTTTTGTTACTATTTTGCTGTTATTAATGCAAGTTCAAGTAAACGAGATTGCTTTCTTGTCTCAAACTGGGCAGTTATCTAAACTGTTTTTTGTACTGTTGTGCGTCTGCAATTCCTTGGAGCTATTTCATTGCAAGATGTAGTTGTTGTAAATAAGGAGTCTAGACGTTGGCCTATTTAAAATAAATAGTTTATCCCAAGCAAGCAGCATGAATTGAATTGGTTTGTTGTTGGTGTGCACTTCCAAGTTTTTCTAGTGCACTCCAGGACTTTGCTGTTTCTTTTTGGTTGGAAAAAATTCCATGTTCTTTTCTACTTCATGATCGTCTTAATTTGGTGAAGTGAAACAACAGCAAAATTAGATAAACCTAACTTCATCTATCTGGAGAGTTGTACCCGAAACTCTCTATACTGCATTTTTCTCATTTTTTTGGTCTTCAAGCTCTTTACTCCATTATCTTTCCTATTTCTCTAACAAATTAAAGTTGGTAAGCAACTTCCGTTCCCCTACTTACTTCTCGTGGTTAGCTCTCCTTGGCTTTGCTTTACAACTGGTTCTCATCAGTACGTTTATATATTCTTGGTTAAATGTCAATTTTGGTCCCTTATCTTTAAGGTTTGCATAATTTTCCTCCTTTAATTTTTTATATATTTTTTTGGTCCCTTAACTATGAAAAATGCACATTTTTAATTCTTTCGTTAATTAATCTATTAAGTCTATCTCAATCTGCACATTTTTAATCTCTTAACTTTTAATATATGCATATTTTTTATCCTTTAACTTAATGTTGAGAGACTAAAAATGTGTATATTTAGATAAACTTAACAAATTAACTAACAGAATGACAAAAAAAATGCATTTTTAATAGTCAAGGGATCAAAAAGGTGTATAAAAAAGTTAAGAGATGAAAATTGTGTAAAACTTGAAAGTTGAAAAATCAAAATTAACAATTAACCTATATTCTTCCTTTGACTTATGATTATTTGCACATTTTTTTTTATTATATCAGATGATGGATTTATTAGAAAGGGGATAATCTTCCTGTTTTCATAACTCTTTTCACTTATTTTAAAATTTAAATTTAAAATTTTTAATTTTTAACATTGAAACACCCTTTAGGATTATGATTATATGTACATTAATTCAAATTAGGAAAATAATTGGTACATCTTGCAAAGTTATATATTTTGTTACACATTAATAGTTTCCGTTACTTACATAGTTAAAGTTAATAATTTCTATTATTTATGCTATTAAAACTGACGATTTCTATTAGTTGTCCTGTTGTATAACTGTGCAGGATATACATATCATTTTTCATTCAATTAACATATATAGTTTGCAGGCAACACTCATTTCTTCACTTACTATCTTATTTACACTAATCGACGGATCCCAACTTTAAATTCATGGATCATCGATATTTTAATGCTTGGATGATGAGTTATCATCTGTATTTACACTAATTGACGGATCCCAACTTTAAATTCATGGATCATCAATATTTTAATGCTTGGATGATGAGTTATCATCTGTTTTTATTTTATATGTAACTAGAAATAGCCTTAATCATTTTAAGGTTTGAATTTAAAAATTTCTATTAAAACTTTTATATATATTATTCTACTAAATTATAAAATGTTGACAATATTAAGTTTAGTTAAGTTATACTCACTAATTTAAAAATATTAATTTGAGGTTAATAATTTAAAATTTAAAACTATTATAATGTTAAGTGCTTAACTTTTGATTTTCCAAAATAAATAATAAATAAATAAAATGTTGACCCATTATTTATTCTACTTGCAGGAGACATTATTATACATCAATTATAATAAGTCTTGTACAATAGAGATGCTCCCAAATGCACATAAAAGTTCTCGGAATATTTTCATACTTAGTGCAGAATTACCCTCTCCAATACTCCAATCCATCTAATGCCTTTACCACCTTTTTCTCTCTTTGGGACATTAATATTGAAATTATAAGGAAATAAAATGAATATCATATAAACCTATATGTGTCACAGGAGGAGAATCAAAGGGCATAAAACAATTCTGCTTTGGGATTATTTTGTGTAGCTCCTTTGGAAGAAAGAAAAGTCAAAAGTCAACTTATTAAATAATCACACCAATCTGATTCTCTCACAAGAAAAAGAAGAAAAAAATAATCAAATCAAAGGTTAGCCCTCAATTTTAATTTTCATTTGGCCCACTGTTTATATACCATCCCTTTCTTTTATTAATTCCTTAAAAAAAATTAGCTAAACACAAAAGAAAAATACGATAAAGGAGAAATCATGGCCATTCATCTGTTGTCCAAACATTGCTCTGGTCCCTTCATCATACCCTCTTGACTGCTCCCAAAAAGAAGGTTATAAACATGAACCCCTAACCAACATATGATCAACTTTGGGACCAAAATATTTCCCAAATGGGCCCACTAACCTCTGGTCCTGATCTGGTTTCCCCTTCAATGTACACCAGAAAATGGTGTGACTGAACTGTACTCTAGTTTTTCCCCTTCGAATAAAATTGAAACAAAGCCAAAAAGAAACATGGGAGAGAAAAAAACAACAGTAACCCATACCCAGAAACTGTTGCTTTCTCTATTTTTTTTTGTTAAAAAAACTGTTTCATGAAGTATATGAGGGGAAAAAAAATACTCATGGTGCTTGTGTCTGAAGTTTTCTTAGATTTTTTATTTATTTTATGGTTTCTCCGTTGTTGGGATTAGAAGGAGGTGGTGGTCCATCAAGTACACGCTGTTCATTTGCCTTGTTTATCAAGCAACCTCCAGTAATTCCTCTGACCTCTCTCTCTCTCTCTCTCTCTCTCTCTGTGCAAACATTCATGGCAAAAGAATCATGATCACCACTCCAGCTCAAAGCCCATGTGATTTTTTTTTTTTTTTTTTTTATCGACCCATTTTATCTCCATATTCTGTTTCTATTTTTTCCATAATCTGTCTCTATTTCCCTGTATTTTCTCACAATGTTTGAAACTTTTTTGAGAAGCTCCAAGCATGGAGAAGAAAAACGGAGAACCCTGATTTCAACTACAGAAGTTTGAATTTTTATTCTAATAACTAACTCATAACCCAAGATGGTTATTAAATTATATTAATTTTTTATACTATAAACTTTTTTTTTTGTTAATTAATTAAGGAAAATATTGCTTTTGAAGGTGAGCCTTATGTAACAGCTGTGTAAGCCGTTTGTGGCCTTTTGCTTTAGTAGTCAAGCCCTCAAAACAAAGGTATGGGAGAGCTTAAGCTTTTGACTTTGAGAGAAGAAATAAAAAAAAAAAGATGGGTTTTTTCTTTCTATCCTGTTTTCCTTCTTTCTCTTTCTCTCTCACAAACCGCCTGTCTACATGCTCTACTTAAATTAGCAAAGGCTTAGAGGTGGGGCGTGTGTAGGTTAGAAGGAGGGGCAACTTTTCCTTTTTCGTCACTGGGATTCAGTTAAAGTAGCTAAGGAGGGAATTCTGGTGTTTTTCAATGGTTAAAGCAGGTTTATAGCTCAATCCTACTGTGACAGTTTCCTCTTTTCCTCCTCTCCCTCTCTCTCTTGTTCTTCCTTTCTCTCCCCCCTTCTCCTTCCCAGCCACTCACTCTCTTTGTGGAATTTTATTTCAATTTATCTGGGTCTTGCAAGTTTTTTTGGTTTTCAATTGAGTCTATATTCACAATTACTCTTCTGGTGTTGATATGTATGTATCTGATATTTGTGGTTTTTCAAAGTTTTCTGTTGGCTTTTCATGTTTGTTTTTAAGGACGGATCTGTTTTTTCTCCCCACCCTCTCTAGTGTGTTTTCTCATGGATATAAAAACAAATGTTTTGAAGTTGTGAAAATCACAGTGTATCCATTGTAATTGACTCTTATCCATTAATTTGTTTCTCTGTCTTTTCTAGCTTGAGCACAACATCAGATCTCAAACACAGCCTTATGGTTTCTGTTATATAGAGAGCTAGCTGGGATATGAGAACTTGGCTGCTATATAGAGTTGATAATTTCATCCAAGATTTCAAGAGCTTAAGGGAAAGAAAATAGCATCTACTTCAGAAAGAAGAATCCTTTTGAGCAATGAATAAAAGTAATTTGGGCTCCATCAGCAGCTCTGATCTCATCGATGCCAAGCTTGAAGAGCATCAGCTTTGTGGATCCAAGCAGTGCCCTAGTTGTGGACACAAGCTTGAAGGAAAGCCGGTAGAGATAGTTCCTTAATATTCTTGGCTTCAATATCAAGTTTTGGCATTAAGAAGAATCAAGATGAATGGGAATTATTCTTTCTGTTTGATTCTGAAGTTGGCATCTTTTTAGTGTAATTTATGTTTTTTTTTTTCTTTTTTCTTTTTTTCATTCTTATTGGTTTGAAATGAATTGATTTTTTGCAGGACTGGTTTGGTCTACCAGCTGGAGTAAAATTTGATCCAACAGACCAAGAACTAATAGAACACCTTGAAGCGAAGGTTCAAGCCAAAGACATGAAATCTCATCCTCTGATTGATGAATTCATCCCCACTATTGAAGGAGAAGATGGAATTTGTTATACCCATCCTGAGAAACTTCCAGGTAATTAACTTTGGTTATAAAATTATCCATCTTTCTTTGACTTTCATCGATCTAATCAAAGACAGACCATTTATATTGAAACTAGAGGATTCAACACCTCAAGCCCTCCTCTATCTGGGGTTTTTTTGGGTTTGGCGATTGCTTCCATCATTATTCAGTGTTGTTAGGTCTTACTATCTTAGTTTGTTGTCTGAAGTAAAGCTGCAACTTCACGAATTGTAGTTTTCCTCAAATATGTTTGTTTTGACCTTGAAGAAATAGAGACATTAATTTTGTTGGTTATACCTAAGTCAACCTAACTTTGATTTTGCACAAACATGCTTCACATTTCTTGCAGGAGTAACGAGAGATGGCTTAAGCAGACATTTCTTCCACAGACCATCAAAGGCTTACACCACCGGAACAAGAAAGAGAAGGAAAATTCAAACAGAATGTGACTTGCAAGGGGGAGAAACAAGATGGCATAAGACAGGTAAGACCAGGCCAGTCATGGTGAACGGAAAACAGAAAGGGTGCAAGAAAATTCTTGTTTTATATACTAATTTTGGAAAAAATCGAAAACCCGAAAAGACAAACTGGGTGATGCACCAGTACCACCTTGGCCAGAATGAAGAAGAGAAAGAAGGTGAGCTGGTGGTGTCCAAGATATTCTACCAGACACAGCCAAGGCAGTGCAACTGGGCCGATAGGAGCGCAATAACCGCGGAAGGTAGTAGTGATCCTAACAGCAGAAGAGATAGTGGGAGTGGAAGTTGTTCTTCGAAGGAAGTAATACCACATCAAGAAGATCAAGGAGCCGCCGGAGTTGCTGCTGCCTTTGCAAGTTATGGTGCCATGGATATTCAACAGTTGAAACCTGAGCATTTCAGCTTTGCTCCATTTAGGAAAAGCTTCGATGAGGTATATACGTTTTGTTCTTTCATGCGAATTATCTCTTCTACCTCTTCTACTTCAAAAAATCTTCAAACTCATTCTAAAATCAAGTTTTGATCATGAAATATAATGAAAGAATAAATAAGGAAAAAATATTAACGTCATTTTCGTATCATGGCATGTAGCTTTCATATTAAATGAACATTGAAATCTTAACGTCAAAGAAGTCATAAACATTTCATTTATCTAAAATATATAAAAATAAAAGTAAAGGGAAGAGATCATAAAAGTTTCAGGGTTGCTTTTCTGATTTTTCTTCCTTCCAATTTGCTTGCATATGCAGCATGAAAGCTCCATGGACCTTATTAGATTATCAATGTGAGCTAACAAAAACTGTATATGAAAAGGAGAATTGAATTTTTCTAGAAAATGTTGACTGAAAATGGATTGGCTAGCAAACTGATCCCTTCATTCTTGGGGTACCGGGGTCCAATTGTCATTGTAGGTGGGGATAGGAGAAGCTTCAACAGTAAGGGAAGCTCCGGGACAAGGCACATGTGAGGAGATACATGAGCATCCACGGCCACATCACGTGACCCATGATCCCCATCAGCAGCAGCAACAACAACATCACCATGCACATACACATCATCAGATTGCCACCACGGCATTCCACATCAGTAGGCCTTCACATCCCATCTCCACCATCATCTCTCCCCCTCCCCTACACCACACCTCCATCATTCTTGATGAAGACTCCTTCCATGTCCCCAGAATAATGCTTCCAAATGAAAGTTTTCAGGTATATAATTAAAAGAAACCTCCAATCTCCTATTCTTGTGGAATTTCTCAAGTTTTTGCTATATGAGAGATAACTATTTTTTTCATTAGTGTGCTTATAAATTCAGTGGTATATAGTAATATAAAAAATTAATATTGGTCTTAAACCAAAATGTTGATTTTAAAGGGTTTTGATAATTAGGTCAACCATGCATGAATATGATTAAGTTGGACCTTAATTATAGATGAATTGATGGGATGAAATAGATAAGTCAGCTAAGTTGGGGGACAAATAAACTGTCTTTTCACTTTTTAATCTTTCTAGTGGAAATGATGATTATTTGGGTTTTTCTTTTTCTTTTTCATTTTTTACGAACAGCAACAACAGCATCAAACGCAACAGCAGCATCATAAAATGGGAGGAAGGTCTGCATCTGGATTGGAGGAACTCATAATGAGTTGCACTTCAACTAGTGATATCAAAGAGGTGAGTATATGAACTTTTTGACCCTGAAATCCATGATGCTATCGTGTCATAATACTAACTAAGCATAGAGGGAAGGGGAAAAAGTAAGTAAGGATTTGAAAGGGACTAAAGGAGAAAAAAAATTCCTCAAATTCTTTATTATTATTCTTTTAAATTAAAGAGAGAAACCCCAGAAACCTTTTCTTTTTCTCTTTTCCTCTTTAGTTTTTCTTTTTCATTTTTTTTTTCTTCTTTTTCAAGATCATTTTCTTTCATGTTCTTAGAGCCAAGTATGATATATATACATACAATATACTGCATTTATATATGCATATACCTATAGGTATCTTAAGAACATGCATGCATGCATAGACTCTTACACACAAGCATAAGTTGCTTTTGGCATTAAAATTATTCCATTATTCCTTTCGCCTTTTCCTTTAGAAGCAGTAGAAAAATGGTAGGCCTGCACTTCTTTTCCACAACAAAGTTGATCTTATGTTCAACTTACATAATCAGAATTCTGAAAATTTTGGGTAGCAGAATGTGAAATTAAGCCTTCAATATGTTAGAAATGAAACAGAATCTTTTCTCTTTCTGTTTTGAACAAAGTATAGGGATAGTAATAAGAAAACTAAAGCTCATTCTTTAACCCCACACCTCTTTTATTTGAATTTGTTCCTTCTATATATGCCATATTTGAAGACGTTTTGTCCACAAAAAAATACATCAAGGAGAAAAAAAATATAATATATATAACTAGTGAATTGCTATACTACTTAATTACTCCCTCCATTCTATAATAGTAATTCTAATTTGATTTTTTTACTTTTAAGATCAAAGGTTTGGGTATAAATTTATCAATTGAAAGTTTCTTTTTCCTATATGTAGCTTTGTTTAGTAGTTTTACTTGAAAAAAAAAATTTCCAATTGTTATTTATATGGTATGTTAAATTTTTACCTAAATTTTTTATCTTAAAAATAAAAAATTCAAACTAAGACTTCTATTATTAAATGGATGGAATACTAATTATTTTTCTTGGGTTTAATTTGAGTAGTGGGAAGGTGCATGATAGCAGCATGAAATCTTTTGTCATGTGTTGCCTCATGAGATAGGAACATCATCATCAAACAATTCATTGTGAAATAAAGACAAAAAAGGCAGTTTCTTCTTCTGTTGTTTTTAGGTGAAAAAAATAAAAATTCTTCTGTTAAAGGAAAAAAAAACAAAAAAACAAAAACAAAAACAAACAAAGGCCTAACCCTAAAATGCCTAATAGGAAGTCGTGTTCATTTTTAACATGGGTTCCACTGCCACTGTGCTTATTTTGCAGGAGTCATCCATCAACAATCCACAAGAAGCAGAATGGCTCAAGTACTCCTCCTTCTGGCCTGACCCTGACAACCAGGATCATCATGGGTAGAAGAAAAATTTCAGACAACATTAATATTATCATTATCATTATTAATACTCCAAGCCTCTGTCCAAGTTCTTCTTAACAAGAGAGGCCAACACATAGTTTGCTCTGTTTACTTTCATTTTCTCTTGGGAGTGGGGGCCTGATCAAGTCTCAAACTGAAACTAACTATGTTCAAACAGTCCATGTTGAAAAGGAAGGGAAAAGAAAGGAAAAGGAAGGAAAAGGAAAAAGAGAAAGGAAAAGAAACAGAGGGAAAGGCTGCTCAATAGAAGGAGAAGGAACCAAAGACCCAAAGCAAATCTTACCATCCTGGCCTGCATGAAAATCATCACCATTATGATTACAATATCATCTTTATGTCTACCATATTCCTATTATTTTATTATTTCAAGACGTTTGTATAATTTCCTCCTCTTTTTTTTTTTTTTTCTCAAAAGAAAATAGGAGTACCAAACTACCAAAGAGTGTGTGCAAATAGTGGCTATGGTTATAGATTACCCTTTTTGGCTATAGAAAAATGGATAAGGGTTCATCATTTCCCTTTTACAGAAATGAAAATTGTTTCATAAAATTGTTTATTTCCTTGTTGTGTCACTTTTTTATGTTTCTATAATTTTTAGATAACATGAATGTTTACATTTTTCATTCAATCACTTTTACAAGCACTTATAAACCAATTCTTCTATTCATAAAATTTCTCAAAAAAATCTTTATGTTCATAAATATTAGATAAAACTCTACTTAAAAATAAAGGGCATGACAATTGTAATTTTTTCTTTGTTGGCTTTATTTTTTAATTTTTTGGACAATTTAGAGGGGAGATTAATTTAAGTCTCCCTTTGATACAGTCTTTATTTGCTAATTTTTTAATTATTAACCTTCTTTATCTCACGAATTTTTAAGATCAGCAGGGAAACATGACTTAATTGTGCGTAGGCAATATACACATGTCTATATCCCAAACCAAAAGGAGAAATGATTTTCATTTCTATTTTTACATTAAATTATTATGGACCATATAAAAAGAGATAATGGGTAATGTTATTGTCACACTTTTATCTTAATTGACAATTATATCTTTTAATTTATTAATAAACAAAAACTATAAAATTTTGTGAAAAAATATAATGTAAGAGTATAATAAATAATTATATTAAAAGAATTAACATTAACCATTTAGAATATGACAATAACCTCACTCAATGACATTTATCCATTTCCTAAATTCTTCTCTATCTATTCCAAACTCAAACTTGACATCTCCAATATAATGACTTTAGTTCTTAACCATTAAGACATTTTCTTAAAAAGGAAAAATGATGTTTGTCCGTCAATTATTAGGCTCCTTGGATTTTTTTTTTTTTTTGGCAGTCACGTAATATTTTCGTTAGATTATCTAATTAAAGATTGGTACCTATCAAGTTCATGGAATTGTCTGGTCAGCGGGGGTTTTCTTCGTCCTTCTTCAGTCAAGATTCAATTTCTCAAATTAATTAGTAAGCCACAGGGAGCATAATTCCTCCTACCTTCTGTTAAGTGAAAATCTCACGCATTGATTTAGTTAGAACCTTTAAGATATATGAGCGGTTTTACAATCTGCTCCTGCAACTAGGGATCCCCTCATCACTTGATAGCTATGGTTTTACAATTCAATATTAGACTACAAATATTATTATTATTATTATTATTAAAGATATAACGAAAAAGTGCATTAGAATTTAAATTGTACTAAATTACATTACACTAATTATTGAATGGGGGTAGACTCTTTGAATTGAGGGCCCTCCTTCCATCCAACCATCCATGTTTTATAGACATCTAATGCAGTATGGACTATAAAACAAGATTCCCTAAAGATAAATAGTGCACATCTAAATAAATCAAGGTTTCTCCATTTATTGAAATTGACTTTAGCCCAAATATTTAACACCTACATACTAACAACCTAAATAACTTAGTAATAATCTCCTTCTATTGGAGGTAAGAGATTTTGAGTTTAAATCATATGGTCTACAGATGAAATAAATTAAAGGATGGGAGATAATTATCTATTATTGTGCAAGTCAAGATAAGAAGAATAAGAAGAAGAAGAAGAGGGAAGAAAGAAAGAAAGAAGAAGACACCTGCATCTGCATGCCCCGTTGCCTAGCAATAACTTACCATCATTAGGCCTTTGAGCCTTTGAGGTCATGCCATCATGATAGACAAGAAATTTACCGTCAAATCCAGGTTTGAACTAAAACCTTCTTCTAGATTCATTTTTTCTTTCTTTATTCTTTTAAAAGCTGTATTCTTTTGTTTTTCATGTTGCCTTGTTGGCGTTTCCGAATGATATGCATGAAAAAGGAGGTCACAATTGTAATTGAATTTTTTTCAAAATTCCTAAATTTATGTGCCCCGGAATTGCCATGAATCTCTTTTTATCTCTTTCTCTCGCTTTTAGGGACAAATGGAAGGAGTTTTGTGGCCTAGAAAAACGCAACTCCTTTGGAGAGACCTTGTATTGGTATTGATGTTTGCCTAATGAAAAGGAAATGTACTTTAGTCCAAATTTAATTTTCAGTTGATGATGGGTCCTCTTCATACCTAACCAAGCTAACTCACTTCTCCCCATTCATTTACCAAACGAACTTCACTCTAATTTTAATTGTTTGTAATTAATTCCCCTCTTGCTCTAATTGGACTCCACATATATCTATAGTAAATTAATTTCACATCATTTTGCATTAGTAATTATCAATCATATAAAACATAACGCAGTGCAAATTTTGACATTAATAAATTTGTAGTTTGACCATGTCTAAGGGAACTATACCATTTTGACTAGTGGGCTAATGATGTAACCAAGACTTCACATCCGGATACTAGAAAGTAGGACCAACCTTTCCCTATTGTGGGTTCTTTTGAAGACAAAACAATGAGCCCGGGCTCCATGTGCCAAAAGCGAGGAACTTAAGGTGAATGAAGATGTTAATATCCTTAAAATTTACTTATTGGAAATGGAATCTTGGAATCATTTGTACAGAAGAATACATAACATGTACATATACATGAAGATCAAATCATAGTCTAAAGTCGAACTCATCTCTTTGTATTTTGTTAGTTGGGAAACTTCTTTACTGCTTTAAATGTTGTTCCATTCTAGATTCCAGCCTTTTCTGCTCTTGCAATATATATTTGTTATATTATCATATATGGAATGCTTATTCGGCCTGAAAGTGAGAGTAACGTGCATGATATGGGGACGTGCATGAAAATTGATAAAGGTAACTGAAGATGGAGGCTAATATAAGGCAACTTCATCGTAGTTTCTGAAGCGAATAAAGATGAGAATAAAGGAATGATGAGCAGACAAAGAATAAGCTTTAACCTCTATCTTGTATCTTTTGGGAAATTCTTTTATCTTGTCATTTCTATGGCTTTACCCATGCACGTACCACACATGGTATCATTTTCCAAATGTATTGAGTAATTCATACATACAAACAAACAAATATACATTCATGTATTTTTCAAGAAATCAAAGGAAGCCTAATATCAACAGATAGAGAAACACTAGTACTCATCGAAAGGTCTTGAAAAATCTCAGATTCAATCGAGTCTCTCTTCGTTTTCTAGAATGAGTATGCATCGTTACCTACAAAAAATGAAAAGGGGTAAGGTGTTGGGAGTGTTCTGGAGAATCCCAAATACTGTGGTGGTATGTAATGAAGCTTGCAATTGAGGGGTTTCTTTACACATAGAAAAAAAAAAAAAAGAATAAAAAAGGAATGGAATGTCCTGTTGTAAACCTAAAAAGGTGAAGTTGAATTGTTCTATGGGTTTATGGAAGATTTGAGATGCTCTTAAAAGGAGATATTAGAAAATGTTAGGGTTTCTGGTTCTGAGTGTGCAGAGATTTGGTCCCAAAAAGAAGTTGCAAGAAGAATTGTGAAGTGCAGTAAGGAATATGGCAACATGGCCAACTTTTTTGGATTCTTAAGTAGCACCTGCTTTTCAGGTACTAGCCCACTTCTTTGTGTCATTATTTTGGTTCCGCTGATTTATGCTAATTAATTCCAGACCTATAATGTATTAAATATTAGCCAATTAAAATGGACAAACTTATACACGAGAATTAACAGATATAAACATCCCCATGTGATTGCAATGGTAGCTATGCTTCTTGAAAATGAGAAATAAATGGAAAGCACTTCTATTCGTAAGTTAAGTTTCAACCTCGATTTTCCTCGAATAGATACTAACGTAACATTATAATTCTTCTTATAAAAAAAAATTAACCGGTATAATTATAAATATTCGCATGATTTTAGTGTTGCAAATTACAGCAACTTAATTTGACGGGATTAATAGTAAACACGTAAATCAGCCGTTCTCCCTCAAAAGGACACCTAACCCTAGCTTTAGGAAGATAGGGGGAACAGTGGCCTCTTGCCGCAGTTCCCGACCCCCACCCCCTTTCCTCCTCCACCTTCTCTTACTTTCTCTTGTACACAGTTAAAAAAAAAAAAACCCTAACTATGTGAGAAGCCCTTCCCTTCGGACCTCATTTTCTTTTGTGAAGAGTCCCTCTTCTTCCTTTATTGCTTATCGTCATTGGATCCTGAAACATATGGTTATTGCAGCTTGATAGGGTAAAGTTATCAGTGGCTCGAAACTATTGATAGCCTGAATACTTACTCTTCCTAAAAAGTTGGTATAACAGTTGAGAATATTGGGTAGTTCATCTGATACTCACCAGGACTTTCTTTCTATGATAGTAGCTCTGTTTATATTCTTATAGCTATTGCTTATATAATTTTTATGTGCAAATAGCTTTTCATTCTTAATTATTTATATTTATCATGAATATAATTTAAATTTATATTTAATGCTACAAGATATGTTTCTACTTTGACTATACATGCTGTGATATAGGGATTTATTTGTAATCTTAATCTTATTTATTTAATACAATCTCCATTCCTTAAAAAAAAAAATTGAGGAAGAAGAAGGGATTAGGTGAGACTATGAACTCCTATTGTGAATTTGTTGTAGTTAGGAAAGTCTGGTGAACATTTGATTAATGCTTGCCGCATAATTTTTTTTTTTTAAGCTAATACAGATAACAATTTTTTTCTCACAATAAAACCTTATGAAAGCTACAAATATTAAAAAAGTGAAAGTAGCATGTATCTAGTGTCTTGTTGAGTGAAAATAATCAAAATCATAAATTATAATCACCTAAAATTACAATATTTTATTGTATAAGATAAAAGGAAAATTATTAGTATATTTTCTAATTCAACACATCTAATAATACTCATCGATTCAGTTATTAAAATTTGTTTTTGAAAATTTTCCTGCTTTAAATTCAAATTTAAAAATATTAGTTTTTTAATAACTAAACCGATTGATATTACTAGGTGTGTTAAATCAAAGGGTGTACCAATTATTGTCTAAAATAAAATTGTAATTGAAGCTTTTTTGTTTAATTTTTTTAGCAAGAGCATGACATATTGAACTATCTATGAAAAATTGTTAGAGCTTAATTAGTTAGTAATTTTTATGTCCATCTGGTGATGCAGCCCTTTTGTATCATTTTCCATTGAATATAAAAATGTGAAATATGACCCCCAAAGTTATTTGGAAAAGACAATTAAAATTTAGTTTTTGTTAAAAAAATAAGTATTGTATAATTTGAATAGCATAACTTAAATAATTAAATAAGAGTAAAATCTTTGATATTGAGATTATTCACTTTTAATGATTTTTATTTTGTCGGACTATAAAATAAAAAACTTTTCTTATATGTTTGTGATTGGTTGGATAGGAATGTAATATTGCTTTGGTTAATGATTTTAATACTTGTATGATTAGGAAACTAGAGGAGGATGCACATGGAATAAAAAGTTCTTCAAATTCTAACACGAAATGTCTTGTTCTATTTTTTTTAACATTGGGAATTTGGAGTATCTTGGAATGTTCATAAAAAGCAAGGATTCAAACCTTGGAAACAGCCAAGCACACGCAATGGAAGCAGTTCAAGACTTTGCCATCACTTTGCGGTGTTAAATATTAGTAATAGTCACCATACTCCATACCTTCCTTTCATTTCAATCGAGACATCCTCACCCAATCCGTAAGTGCAGCTAATGTCATATTCAGTACCAAAACACCCAACAGGTGTAAAGGGGGTGGAAATTCATTTCTCCAGTACACGTACTAAAATCTTATATGCACACACGGACTTAATAATAGGGGAATCAAACGTCTCTGTCTATGACACTTTCTGCCCCGAAATTTCAAACTGACAGACAGACAATTTGTACTAGCAAAGATTTGATCTTACCTGTTTGTTGGTCGTCTAGTGCTTTTGATTCAGGATTATGATGTCAACAAGGGTACAAATCAAACCGGTAGGACCCTTAAAACTAGCCCAGCTTTTTACTCCATCCACACCAAACTGACCGGCTACAAAATGCTACAATCCTTTGGATGCTAGTGAAGATTTCCAAATAATGCAAAATTAGAGATCAGTTGTGTACAATTAAAATGAAGACCATGATAAGAGACAAACAAGGAGAATATCAATGATATGCATGGGTGATACACTAAAGTTGTCACTTGCAAGAACTCATTTTTTTTTCTTCTCTTGCCCTCTCATAAATACAAACATTACCAGAAACACAGAAATTGGTCGAGCCACTGCACTTAGTTGCTTTTCCGTACAAGCAACAACATGTAATGTGGAAGGGTTGGCACACTCTAACAAGCACGTGTCTCAGGCAAGCTCCCAGTTACCGGGCCACAGACACCAGAGGCTTTCAAGGATGCAAAAAGGCAGGACAACCTAGCAATCATGGGCCTGGTTCTCACCATTTTATGTACAACCACAAGCTCCTTACCAGCATTCTCATTGTAAGTGCCATGGTAACCTTCAAGATCTGCTTTTGTAATCAGAACTGCATCTGCTGAGGGAGACTCTGCAGCAGCTGCTATTTGGCACTGGCTGTAATCCTGAACCGCCTTGACAAGATAACAATAAGCAAAGATGAAGAGATAATTAGGTTCCTGAGGGACTTCTCACTTTTGAGGAATTCTGCAATTACAGTCTTGGAAAATAAAACTGGAACATTCTAAAACTAATCAAGATTGATTGCATCTGAACCTAAAATGCACAATGGTCTTCGTATGTTAAACCTCAAAAGAAAAAAATAATAATAAAGTAAGAAAGAAGAAGAAGAGGAAGAAGAAGAAGAAACCAAAAGAGAAATGAAGAAGCCGCCTTCCAGCCTCCTGTGTTATCTATTATTATAACCCTACACAGATTGGAAAAGATACATGGAACAAGAATTGAAAAGATTCTAAGAATATATGAGATATTCCACAATGAATTCCAGGAGAGCTAATCACTTACCTTCCACTGTGAGGGGGCAAGCAAAACTCGAGGTCTTCTGGATCTTACATAATCAAGAGCAGCAGCAGGTCTCAAGTGTTTATGCTGTACCTGAAGAATGAAAAATTGACTTAATCATATACTGTCAAATGTGCAGTATGGAATTTCAACTTAAAAGTCAGCTAAGCTAACAAAGAAAAATATTAAACCATAAGGTCAACAACATATTACTTTTTTTTTTTTTTGGTAAATAACAACCTTTTACTTAAGGGACAGGACATTACCAAATAGCAAAGCACAATGGTTGTGCTCCTTCCTCGTCCAGCTTTACAATGTACATAAGTAGTTCTTCCACAAGATGCATTCTCTGTAGCCAAAAAGGAAAAAGAAAGAATTCGGCACATGGCCAAAGAGGCCACAGGGACTAGCAGTCTACCAGAGATAGGTCAAAATGTAATTACTCACTGTGAATGAAGTCCACAGCTTGCCTGATGTCTGCTGGTGATGGAGCAAACAAATAATCTCTGGTGGGAATTACTAGGTGTTCAATGCCATGGGCCTGGAAACCATAAAAGACTCAAAGTGAATACCTACAATTCTACATTACAATATAGACAAAGACATTAGAAAACAAAAAGCTGGATATCCAAGCTGAGATGGTTAAAGACTCACTTAAAATTCCGCAGCCATGGAGAAATGTTAGAATTAAACCAATAAACAAATAAAAATCTTTAACATCAAGTAATTTCAGTTCTCCCAAATGAAAACCTGTGTGCTTCTTAATCATATAAATGAGCCAAGGAGGATACTAAAGATAAAGACTTCACAGAGCCATTTGGAAAACAACAAGCGGCTAGGGTATAAAAACAGTAAATCATTCTTCAGATTTCTCAATAAAAAAGTGTATTCGAAGCCCAAATGCATTCATTTAACAACCTGTTAAAACCGAGCATCAAATAATAAACAGATTCATTACAACAACCTACATGGTACAGGGAAGTAGGAACCAGTGTCTCATAAGGCTCATTGAGCGTGATCACACCACTGACACCTAGCTGCTTCAACCGTGGCACGTCTTTGGGGAATGGAACCGCGCCAAGCAGAAGATACTGCACCAATATTATCAAAGAGAAATGCATCAGAAGAGAAGCATAACATCACTTCAAGTTACAAAAGAGAGAAACCCCATCAAAATCACATATTCAGCAACAATTGCAATACAAACAGAGTATAATTCGCGTAGGTGATCACTAAATTTGCCAATAGAAAAAATCTATTACTAAATTTATGATCCTTCAATTTCAGACAGAATAAAGCCTGCAGATACACTTCCATCCCACCAGATTTAAGGAAACTAGGGCTAACTTAGGTACTGAATCTCAAATTCCTCTAAGTAAAGATTTGTGTTTAGTAAGATGGTTCTAAACATTTTGCAGAAAACACAGAATCATACTTCATCACAGCAGGAAAAGAGAAGAAGAAAGAAGAACCTGATCAACTTCGTCCCACCACCTGAATTCAGCTTGGATCTTGTTCCTGAAGACATTATACAAAAGCGTAGGGTAAAAGAGAATCCGAGCGCCAGCACCGACCAACGCTCTCTTGGCTTCGTCTACGCTAGCTAACTGCTGCTTCCCTCCATGTTGACCGCCGTTTCTCCGATCACTCTCCCCTTCATCCGATTCCTCGAGACTCATCTCACAAGCACCAAAACTCCGATTAACACTCTGAAATTCTACCGCAAACTCAGACACGATTGCGAAAACAGGAATCGGAATGGTGGAGGAAAACTCTGGATGGATATGGTAAAT